CTAACTCTTAGGGCCTAAGAGACCCCACGTGTGCGTTTGAGGGTTAATATAATCATTGGTGTTAAGATGTACGTTACACTACATTGAACACCTCTTGACTAAGTTTGTGGAAGGGGTGGTTCGCGGTTTTGATGTTAGTGGAGCGTTGTTCTTCTTCTCTCAATTCGTTTGCGCTTTTCTCGCTAATTTTGACTGAAATCTCTTCAAACTTTCAGAATAATATTTTTTGTGAAAAAAATAGCCTGTAAAAAGTTTCACGCCATTAAGGTATACAGACATGGCTTCCATACAAAAATCCAAATTTTTTGTGACTTTAGTTATGAAAAGTGTTTCAAAAATAATTTCTATGGCAAAATTAACGTCAGACATATTTTTTTATAGTGTTTTGTTAGAAAATGAAATACTTTCAAATGTCGTACAAATGGGTTCATCATGAAAGTGTGAAAAATCTTTTCTCGGGTACTTCTGCTATTACACTGTAAAACTGAAAGGATTAGAAATTAATCCTTTTTGATTTTTCATAATAAAAAATCCAAAAGGATTAATTTCTCATCCTGAATATATGGAAAAAATTCCCAATAAGAATATTAAAACAATACTTAAAATAAATTGTTTGAATTCATTTTATTAGTTGTCATCGATTTCACGGACAAAACATGTACACAAGTACAGTTCAAAAGAAAACTGTCAGTTGTAACTGAAACAATACATATACTATTTAATCTATATAAAATTTAATCCTTTTGGATTTTATATCAAAAAATCCAAAAAAATTAATTTCTAATCCCTTCAGTTTTACAGTGTAAATTAAAGAATATTTCGTTGCCAAAGTTGAAACATATTTTTTGGTCTTGAACTCAAAGCCGCTTGAAAGGCTTGAAAAATCGAACAAATATTATTTTGAACTTTCTTAATGAAATACGCAACTACCACCGTGCGGAAAAGTTCGTCTTACTCCCGTAAGACTCTTTATTATTTTGTAGATTGAATATTCTCACATTAAATGTGTGGAAAAGTAGAAAGTGAATGATTTTATTTTCTGAATGAGTATGGTACATTTACATAATTCATTCAATTTCTTTTATCATTTACTGTTTTTGAATTAATTTGAACGCGCAATCGTTCAATTGTAGTACGTTTTAAAACTCCTGGAACATGAAATATATTGTTAATAAATTCGTGGCAATTTGTTGCATCAGCATCTTTAACGATGGAATGGAATAAATTTGCCAGTACGGAAATATCGTCACATTCAAGAATATCATCTTTATGTTGCAGGAACAATGTTAAACATACACGAAAAAGTATCTGAAAGAAATGGGTTTCATTTAAGGAAAATGTTTATTTTTTAAGCCTTTAATTGTATTTGTATATACGTACTTTACTGCCTTCAAAAAACACGCAGTCCCAGATCCGTAGAACAGTTTCAACTGGTAAAACTTCTGCAAACATACATATGAACCATTTTGTTGTAACAACAGGGAATGGCATTCCAATCGTTTCCAAGTGTTGAGATATTTCAGGAGCTCGGACATCAATAAGTCCATGTAGAACCCCAATATCAGTAATCAATCCTCTCATTGTCTTTGTATGATAATTTTGTGTAATATCCTCTATTAGAATTTTCAACAGCCAAAATGTATATTCTTCATTTTTTGTGACAATCAAAATCAGACCTTAAAAAATGCAATGCAAAATCATTATTAATGTTTTTTTAAACAACTCAGAGAAATTTAACAGAACAAACTAAATGGTAAACATTATAAAATGCCATTAACAAAATCACTTATTTATAAAATCATTTTACACTGAAACGGTTTTCGACCAGGTTAAAATGGTATTTTACAATGTTTACCATTCTTCATTCAGCTTGTTCTGTTAAATTTCTCTGAAAAGATATAATTGTATTCATAACTAGATTCATAACGTCTACCTGCAATATAGTTGAGGCCCTGGCAGTATCCAATATCTTTATTATGATTTGCATAAGCAATTAGCACATTGAATAATGGCGTTCGAATATTTTCAAAGAATACATTTTCGGGAAATGTACGAGGTAGGTCAATTCGAATGGCATCCACTAAAATATTGGAACCAAAAATGTTGATCTAGATGTTGAATGATTTTGATGATAATAAAAAGGATATGTGAAGAAAATACCTATTTCTATGTCGTAATGTGTGGCAAGTAGGCTTTGGTATAAAAGCGGTTCTTTATCTAGTGCTTTGAATCCGCCGGAAATATGCATCCAAATTTCTCCCCGAATATGTGCTGCAATTACAAAATCAATATTTGGTTTTCGTACAAAATATCACGTTTTTTATTACAAGGTTTACCTGGAATTCCTTTCCGAATATATCGTTTCAGCTTGGAAGATTTTATATGAAAATTTGATGGATTTTTCATTAGATTTTGCCATTTCATGCGACGTTTGGTCAATACCTTATAGTAATTTGTCATAATACTGTCATAAGCTGCATAATCGAAATTGATATCACGTTTAAAACCATATTCATCAACATCGCTGTATATAAATAGAGAATGGTATTGTTTTAAACATACACAATTTGTTTAACGTACATTTTATTTTTATTATAATTTCAGATGAATCATTTAAGATGATATAGTTTAATTTGAATAACATTAAATGAATCATAGGTTATTCAATTTCTTGCCTAAATTTTGATTTAGCCATGATGAAATTTTAAATTTGATTAAATATTTAAAGTTGCTTATGTATGTGGGTTGTGGGTCATCCACTAAAGTTGTATATAAGGCATTTTAATTACACATGCTGCCCAACATGTTACGTCAAAACTGCGTAAATAGATAAATTAATTTTTTTAGACTATTATCGTAATAGATTCAATTTATATTTAATCGGATCAACCATCAATGTACTAATTGAAACAAATATTTTCCATTAAATATTGCCGAGAACAGCTTAGTTATTTATTGTTAACACTATTTCAAAATGATAAGGTGAAAAAACAAACTTTCATGTTGAAGTTATGAATTGGACTGAAACACACATATCTCATTTCTCGTTGTGCAAATAAACGCAGTATGTAAAGAATATCTATATATATAAAATTTATTGGAAAATATATGAAATGTAACAATTGTATGTAAAACTAAATATACGGGAGGAATAAAAAAAATGTCGTTGAAAAGAAAGAGAACAGATAATAAGAGCTAAAGATAGATTGTTTGTTAATGAATTAAAGCAAAAATAGCTGTCATTTATAGCTGTCAACTGTCACTTGAAACTGTCATCATAATCTCGTACTATTTGTTGTTTTAATGTAGTAGTTGTGATTGTTGTCATTTGTGAATGATATCCATTCATACGTAAAAAGAGGTGGTCGTTTCCGAAATAGCGTTTCTATGAAATTGGGAGCGAACGTTTTTCAAGTAATGAATTAACTCACATAGAATGAATATCTTTTTACTGAAATACGTGCGTTATTATTTCTTCTTTTAATCTATCGCAGTAAACAAAATTAAAGTATGTACTTTTTTAAAGTTATGTTTTGTTAATAAAAGGTAATTATTAAAAAATGGAATGTAAAAAAAAATAACGAAGTAAAAATACTTTAACAAATTTCGTTGAAAAATATTTACACTTCTATTAGGTAAATGGTATGTTTTTGACCAAAGTTGTTTGTTATAATTTATATAAAAAAATGTTTATTTGTAGTACGAACAACATAAAATTAGCTATTGAGCAAAAACAGTTTAACAGAAAGTATATATTTAGTCATGTTCCCGGTCAATGTACTCTACTTTTTTTTATCAATGACCTTGGCGTTAGTGAAACTGTGAATTGAATAACAATTTTAGATTTTCATGTATGTACTTATCAGTTGATTCAATTACATTTTTTCATAAAATGTATCATTCAACTAGATTTTGGTAGAGTAATAATTGAGATGAATATTATTTTGAAGTTGACCACTTAATTCGTCCTGTAAAATCTCAAAATTCGCCAAAACAATCTTGAACGATTTGAACAAAAAATTCTTATATGGAATGTTTTTTCCAAAAGAAATATATGTACACGTTTACACATAAGTATAATATATCTACCAAACTAGAAATATATAAATGAAAAATCGAAATAAAAAAAACAAGTTATGAGTATAGAAGGTTTCGATGAAATTTTATACAAGCATGTTTAATAGGAGACGCAGGGAACAGCCTTGAATTCAGTCTTCATTTAATAGTAACAATAATTCCTCATACTGTGAAAAGTGTGTAAGTCAGATACACAATACCATATTTTAAATACATGTATACGAAATAGTGTGCGTATGGTATCAAAACTGCGTAATGCGTAATAAACGCTAGTTTATATTTATTTATGCTGGGAATTAATATTTACAGGCGCTCAAAATTGACGTCGATTTATTCGCAACATACATATAAATCAAGTTAGTATATAAAGTGTGTCTCCCTGTGTATATAGTTTTATAGTCACACGCAAGCAAGCGAAGATGGCACAACCAAAAATTTGTTTTGCTCCTAAAAGTTCACAAACACTGATGAAAAAACACATATGTTGATTAAAACACGCGTACAAAATATAATTTTGCTTGGTATGAGTAGCGACGCATACACTTTCAATTAAACCATCTGCACACCAGTACATAATCAAAAAATCCATGTATTTCCGCCTTTGCAAAAATATACATATAACACCTATTGAATCATATGGAAACCTTGTGATGCAGACCGCATGTATGCGTGCGGCGAAAGCACCAATTCAAATTGGCGAAAAATGGAAACGTGGTAGTGAACGTATAATACGTAGTGAACGACAATGATGACTACATCGACAAACGCACGGGAAAAAGTCTTGTTCTCACGTTTCAAATGCCACCACATACTGTATATGTCATCATACAGTATGAGAAAGAGATCGTGTTCAGTGTTTTGAAACAATTTTTTTATCAAAACGTTTTAATTTGATTTAATTTTCTTTCAAACAATAAAATTTCATGGCAGCAGTTCATTTCGATTACAATACCAATCTAGTTTTTTTTATAAAACGTTAACATTCAATAAACAAAGATATTTACATAATTTGCGCATTTAGTTTATAAAGAATAAAAGTTAAGCCCAAAAAAAAAAACAACTAAAACACAAAACAGAAATCCTGAAATTAATTGTACGAATCCGAAGAGACATTGATCAATTTATACATGACCATCGAACAAAATGACAGTGAAAACCAGCTGATAAAGTAAATAATCTTTTGACAATAAAATTTCAATGTAAATCATATAAATAAGTTAATTACAATATTCGTTTATGTGTTCGCCTATAGTTGTGTGTTGGCAAATTATTATGTGTTCATGAATTTCTATATTTGTATTACAAAAAAAGTATTTTGCATCACTTAACAATTCGGTCCAATTGTTCTTCATTTTCAATATTATCAATTTAATTGAATTCCCTTTTTGCCATATCATTCGGCAAATACAATACATTTACATTCTTAAAATATCACGTTTGAGAATCTACTTGTTGTGTTTGTCTAATATAGAAGCAGCGGAAGAAATATGTGAAGAGAACAAAAATAGCAACGTAAATATCAAAGTATTATAGCGTTTGATTCAATTTGATAATATCGACCATAGATTTATGCATTTTAAAATGTTCGTCTTTGATTCCGGTTTTCATTGCGTATAAAATTAAACTTCATTTGTTTTATTTTATTTGTAATTAATATCACCAAAGGTGCGTTTTACAATGCACTGATTTTCAATCCTGTAGAGTTATTTCCATAAAAAATATGAATACATGAATGTTTCGGAAATATTTGACTGCGAATACAATGTTGGAATTCGGCATGTTTTTGAAATTCTATCAAATATATACGAAATATAATATAATAATCACATAAATTACACATTCTATCTTTGTGGTTCAATGTTATCAATGTTTGATGATGTATTATTTCCTTTCTATGTATTCAGAATGAGCTATCTGTTGCCAAATACTAATGCTTGTGTGTGATAATAAGTGACGGTAATTTCATTTAAAACGAAAGACAAAATTAAATGATAAATTAATATATGTGCATGTACGTTTCGGATCGAGAAAAAGCCCATTTATACATTTGTACTTGATGGAAAGGAAAAATTGAAATCAGGAAATCGATAATCAACAATTTCATACGGATATGTATATATTGTCTCAAATTTTTTCTATTCCTTGATTATGTTTTCCGACTCGTGTATATACTCTGATTTGTACGGTTCATGGCTGTTCACCAGTGAACAAAGTTCATTCATACATATCAAATTCAATACATTTATAATACATGCATTATTAATTGCTTACTTGCACTTTCGGCCCTTTATGTTCAAAATTTATTCAACATTAAAGCAGTATATTTAATATCTTCAAAACGAAAGCACCGTGTTTTATTTATCGAACGATTAATTAATTAATTATTATTCTTTATTTGGATATCTATTTAAGTGATATTCAATGGCCAAAAGGGTGGTGGTGTTAAACAGATCCGTTTGCTGTGTCCGTACAATGATAAACATATATACCGTCAAATTTCGATTACCATCTATTTTATATTCAAAATTAAATCTACAAATTCAATTTTGTTATATGCTCTTAGAATTTAATTTTCAATTTCATAGAAAGCGCAATATTTTTTTCACTTCCATTCGCATAATTCCAGTGGTTCATTCAGCTGTTTATTTGTGAGCATTGAAATATCGATTTTAGATGTGGCTAACGCAAGCGTTCGCTTGAGAATGTGAGTGAAACGTATGCGTGTGTAATACGTACTTGGCCTTGGAATGTTTTTATTTTATGTTGTTGTTTTCATTTGCTTCGAACTAGTCCAATACATTCAAATGTGTGTCGTAATAACTGCGAATACACTTTTGATATATGATGTGTACATAAATTCTATATGTGTGTAAGGCTGAAAAGTAACGTCAAGTGAATATAAGGAATTTATTAAAACGATTATTCATTCGTTTTTTTAATACATTAAAGATTTTTTTAAATTTCATATTTAGATTTTATTATATTTTATTTCAAAATATTTATTGACAGGAAAACAAAAACGGAAAGTGAAATTGTTTGAAAAATAAGAAGTCAAACACAGCATACTAGAGAATTTGCAAAAGTGAAAGTAGTAGGATGTCCGGAAGTAATAATTTGTCTTATTCACATTGGAAATCGAATTTGTCGTTGATTGGTAGCGCTTCAACAGCGGCATCAACTTCAAATTATCAAAATCTCATGAAGTTGGCTAGCTCAGCCGTTCCTGGTGGTGTTATACATCAAACTCATTCATCTCAATTGAGGTATTTGAAAAATTATTTGTTCTGTGAAATTCTTATTACTTTTCCGCACACACCTAGTGTGAAAGGGGAAAGTATTGCAATAGGTCAAAATTTACGAAACCTCAAAAACATGTTTTCTGGACGTTTCTGAGGTCAGAGAACCCGAATCAGGCCGTTTTGAGCATGGTTGTTGTGGGTCGCTTCCACGTCGTACGTCGTACGTCGTACGTTGTCCGCCGTACGCAAAATTTGTCCATCGATTTTCTCACCACCCAGAAAAGTTATTTGAAATCTGACTTCACGGGATGATTGGGGGTCCCCAGGAATAGAAATCATCAGATTTTGAGCGACTTTGGTTGATGGAAAAAAATTCCATGTCTGGAGTGATACCTATGAAAAAGAGTCCAATTTTCGTCCAAAAGTCATACTAAATGTAGACTTAAACACTCAAAAATATGTATTGGGGGGTTTTTTGGCACGAGAAAACCGAATCCGATGTTAGTTTTGAGATACAATCAATTTTTAATACAGTTTCCTTGAAAAAATCACAAAAAATTTGGATTTTTGTATGGGAGCCATGCCTGTATGCTACCTTAATGACGTGAAACCTTGCACAGACTATTTTTTACACAAAAGTATAACATTCTGAAAATTTGAAGAGATTTCAATTAAAATTAGGGGTACCTCCCAATTTTCAATTTTTGGCTCAAAAACGAATATTTTGTATGGGAGGTACTCTTGATTTTGGTTGAAATTTATCCAAACCCTCCGAATATTATTTGTGAAAAAAATTACCTGTGCAAAGTTTCACGCCATTAAGGTAGCATACAGACATGGCTCCCATACAAAAATCCAAATTTGTTGTGACTTTAGTTATGAAAAGTGTTTCAAAAATAATCTTTATGGCAAAATTAACGTCAGACATATTTTTATAGTATTTTGTTAGAAAATAGAATAATTTCAAATGTCGTACAAATGGGTTCATCATGAAAGTGTGAAAAATCTTTTCTCGGGTACTTCTGCTATTAAATTAAAGAATATTTCGTTGCCAAAGTTGAAAAATATTTTTTGGTCTCGAACTTTACGCCGCTTGAAAGACTTGAAGAATCGAGCAAATATTATTTTGAACTTTCTTAATAAAATACGCAACTACCACCGTGCGGAAAAGTTCGTCTTACTCCCGTAAGACTCTTTATCTTGAATAGAGTTGATGAGTTCAAATAACGGTTTAATTTTTATTGACTTTTTTCAAACAATCTAGTGAAGAGCACTTAATACCAGCTCATAGTACACATTCACCTCATTCCATGAGCAGAATCATTGGATCACCTGCATCCACATCATCGCTTTATTCACCTGGTTCAAATCCAAGTTCAACAGCTGGACCATCAATTCCGACTTCGATACCGCGTGCCCATCAACACAATGTACCCATCATTCAGACGTCGTCCACATTTGCTGATCAAAGTCATCATCTGGATGTTTATTCTCAAATCGGAATGCAACGAATCGGGCAAATGTTTAAAAGCAATTTGATGGCAAACAACAATAACAACAATTGTAATAATAAAAATGCAAAAAATAACCGTCCGAATTACGAAAATACTGTCAAAATGGAACAAAGTATGAATAATATTAAACAATTGGTGGAAAGCGCGATTGGGTAATTAAATTAAAGTTCATTCTAGAATGGACCTCTTTATAACTGTTTTCGAAACAAAACATTGAAACTTTCTGTTTAAAAAAAAATTTAATTGCAGAATTGAAGCTAAACAACAAATTATGCATATTTTGGAAAAAATTTCACTTCTTCAACCACCTGAACGTTTGTTGCTATATCTTCGAATGCCGAGCAGTACTTCAGAGACAGGTATCTTTATTATTATTATTATTATATTATTTTTCTTCAATCGAAATACTCTCAATAAATTAACATAACAACAATCCGTATATTAGATCCGTTGCGACAACCACAAAATCCGTTGGGCACACGTTCTGAAATCAATTTTACAATAAACTGGGTATGATTTTAATTTCATTTCCATTATGTTCCATTACATATTGATTAATTTACATTATTTCCACTTTTATTCCTAGGTACGATCTCATTTAGAAATGGATCCGAATGTTTCAATACCTAAACAAGATGTTTACGATGAATACGTGTAAGTAGAATGATAGTAATATTTGCTTATATTTTAAATATTCCCGATATTTTCATAGAGCATACTGTGGACGTGAAGATGTAAAACCATTATCAACAGCAGATTTTGGTAAAGTAATGAAACAAATTTTTCCAAGCATACGACCGCGTCGTTTGGGTACACGTGGCAATTCACGATATTGCTATGCCGCAATGAGAAAAACTACCAAATTAGAATGTCCACAGCTGCCAAATTTAGGTGGTGCACGAAACGATTCAAATTCCGATACGAACATAGTATCGAGTAATGAAAATGAAACCGATTCAATTGTTGGATCATCGAATTCATGGAAAGTTATAAAATCATGGGCAGAAAATCTTCTAAATGTTGAATTCAAAGGCCCCAACGAACTAGCTGATCATATTACGACCAATTATATAAAAGGAAATCCCGGCACGATTAGTACTAATTCGCGCGTATTATTGCAAAAGAAATTACTTCAGCGCAAAGTTAAAGGACGAAAGAAAAAATCGGTGTCAATGTCGGAGGTTAGGATAAACATAGATTAAAGAATGTATTTTTCAAATAATAATTAAATGACTTTAAAATTTGACAGGAAATTATTGACGATGGAAAAAAGCGACGAAAAAAGAAACTAAAAAAGTCACTGAGTCAAACAAATAGTGAACCAGCCGATAACGGTTCACCAGAGAACATATCGACAACAAATGAACAAAGTGTACCTGATGAAATCTTACATATAAAACAAGAGCAAACACCAAATAATCTACAAATAGATGGGCAACAATCACAACCAATTTCCCAGGTAATGCCAATCAATTTGACCAACGAACATGGGAAAATAAAGAGCGAAATTGATTCACTTGGGTATGAGCACGATTTTTCAGCCGCAGTTTGCAAAATTGGTAAATAATTACTAAAAAAAATTTAAATTTGAAAATATTGCAATTTTAATGTTGAAAACTAATTAAACAAATTTTGTTATATACAGAAGTTGAAGATACAACTGACATTGAACAAACAGTGTTTTGTAAAAAAGTGCGACGTGCTCAAGAAGAGAAAGGATTGTCCATATCGATGATATCCCCAAAAATGTCACATCAATCTCCCGAAATGAAATCGTCTACATTGTCTCCTGCATCATTGCTCATGCGTCCACCTTTGTGCGAAGTTCCAACTGATTTATCAGTGAGCGGCAGTGATTTGAATAATACAAACAGTTCATCAAATGATGATACTTCCGACTCTCAAAATCCAAACATGTTACAAGTTTCGAATAAACGAACAGCTTCGAATGCAGTTAGTCGATCGAAGAAATTAAGATTTAATAAACATGCATCAGTTGCTGGAATGAATGAAACAAAAGTTGATGATATCGCAACGGATATAATAATACCTCGTGAAAGAGTTGTGAGCATTTGTAATATGGATAAGGATGCATTGGATGATTATTTAAACGAAGGCGGCGATTCACAAGAACAAGAAGCCGAACTGCTACAATACTTTCAAACATCAGGACATGATAAAGTAAATCAAAATACGGTTACTGATACAATTGCTTCGACAAGCGCAGCAATTCCAAACACTTCCAACGCTTATCCATTGCTTGAAAACTACCAGCTACATCAAAATGCTGCAATTGTGCCGTCCGGCAATTCACAATTGGCGAATACAATGAATCATTCAAATCAAATGCCACGTAAACAAGATCAAATCAATGAATTGCGTCAATATTTACAACAAAATTTGCATCAACCACCCATTATACAGAATAACAATATGAAAAGTGCTGAAGAAAGATCCGAAGCGTCTAGTTCTCAACTCAATCCTGATCATGGGTTCCAAGTAGACTGGAAAGATTCCGATGTTGTGATTCATTCGGCTTCAAGTTCATTGACTGCACTTTCATTGCCATATCAACAAGTTTCACAAGATCATCAAACCGAAGATACCTCAATAAACACAGCCACGGTTACAACTACCGAAAGAAAATTATTGCCGACAACTGCTCAAGTTTCATTAATGCGATCTGTAAGACCACCGCCTGCATTAATTTCAAATCAAAACCAACAAAGTCCAAATTCTCGATCGAGAAATTGTAGTTTTGTTCCGATTTCACCAGGACCTCAATCGCCTCGTGTCATTTCACAACATACACCACAGTTACAGACAAATATCCATGCAATTCACAGTAAAAGTACGTTTTTAAGTCCTCGTCGATCTCCAGCCGTACGAAAATTGGTGAATAAGGATTTGAACAGTTGTTTGAAATCGTTACAAGATCCATCAACCTCAACATTCGATACAAAATTTAAAAACGAAATTAGTGCATCCGCACCGGCAAGTCCATCTATAACGCCGCATCATTTTCAATTTAATTCAGGAGTAATGAATCCATACAATAATGCATCAACGAATTCGGTAACATCAAATTCCAATCAACTGCAACCACAACATCAGCATCAGGCTTCATGTTCAATATCTGGAATGTGCGCTGCTTTAGAACGATCTCAAAGTGTACCATTGCATTGTCAGAGTCCAGCATTTAATGCTCCAATTTCAAATACTGCGTACAGCTCTGTCTGTAATTCTGTTGCACAAACACCAGTGCCTTCAGAATATGCTGATTTTTCAGAGGATAATATTCTCGATATGCTGGCCGAATCGTCGAGTGATATTCAAATTAAAAGCGAAGTCAAAGAAATGTCCAATTTAATGCAAACTGATTGTAATCGCAGCAATGTATCGCGTTCAGTACCATCAACACCATTGCCCATGCATAGTTTTCACTTGAATCCATTAAGCAACTTTGGAAGCAGTTTAAATAGTGGCGTAGTTTTATCAAGCATGCCGTCAGTGAAAAATACAATCGATAATTCAAAATCAGTTCCAACAACTCCAAACATTGGAAACAATGCCAATGCACCATTCCGGTACAGTCCTGAGCATCATCGTGATTTTTTAGTCAATGGAAATACAATTGATGCAGCCAAAGGAAATCAATTCTTTCCCTCGCCAGCCAATTCATCACAATCACAAAGAAATGCATCACAAATTCAATCCGTATCATCGACTCAATCTAATGCGCAAGTTTTGCTCACAACAAACACTCAATCAATTGAGGATTTGCCAAATTATAGTGACGTAAACGATCCGATAATTGAGGGATCGCACCTTATGAATAATCTTTAATTTTATTTTTTTGTTGATTGGAAAAACAAAAATTCACCATCTCATCACCATTTGATGGAAATGAAGCATTATGTTTGATAACACACACATACACACATCTATTTATGTATATGGCAAACAGAGTATCATGATTTGCTGCTGCTGAGAGCTGAGAAATGCTGAACTCGTGCGGCTAACGCATACGAAACGGATGACACGCACACATGCATTCTCCCCGTTTAAACGGTTATAAACAGTTGATTGGACGTTCAATTCAAAACTCAAAACTTAGTAACCAGTTGAGCTTGAAATTGTGTTGCGACCGACATATGAGAAGCTGCGAGAAAAACATCACGTCGCATCCCTCGTTATTTTGCTTACGTAAGTGAAAGCAAGAGATGAGATGCGACGTGCTGATTTTGCTCTCAGTCTTTATAACTTTATTCTTCAACGTATAAATGTGACACCCCATTTTTATAACATAGCAAATGGAATTTAATTCTGAAAGTGTCTTAGACCAAAGGGCACAAGCTAATTACTAAAAAGTAAATTTTATTATTTTCAATAGATTCCTTATTTTGTGATTTTCTCCTGTGCACAAGCAAGATGAGATTATTATTATGTACCTATACATTTTGAATGGTATTGCATTTATCAATTTAAATTCAAATATAATTTGAAACAAATCTATTTGATTGAATTAATTTTTTACGTGCATGAGAGAGAATTTATTTTTTAACAATAAAATATTGTTTAGGGCCAGAGAAGTGACTTCAATCAATGGCATTGATATATCTTTTTTGTCATATTATTTTAATGCATATAACAAACAATTCACAAAAAAATTGAAAAATTTAATTGAAATTGTGAATATTTCAAATTTGCTGTCTAAAGCTTATGTCAAAATTAATCGATCTATATTTCGTATAAGATATTCAGCAGCTTTACATTTCTTGTGCACATACGTAAAGAAATGTTAAAAGATCAACTACTGCATTGCACTTATAATACGTACTAACATATAATTGATAATCTGTTGGCAAATAATTTAAATATAAATTCTATATGTTTTCAATTTATTTTTAAAATTTAAATGATGTATCAATGTTAAAGCTGATTGACTAATTTTATTCAGAACCATCGAAGAACAAAATGTTGTGAACCATTTCTATAAATATTTTTTTCTCTTAAGTATTAAATTAAAAAAAAAAAAAAAACAAACAGGGAATAAAAACAAAATGTTTATAAAAAACCGAACGGTTTCATAAAAAATATTTGAAAAACAAAATGTTTATATGCAATGCATGTTATTGCAGGTAAAAAGATTTTTTTGTATTTTATTAAAAACAGAATACAAAATGTAAACAAAAATATTCAATGTATTTACAATTAGCAGTAAAAACAACAAAAATGTTTAAATGTGTATTGTATGTGTGCCATTTTCGTAACGAAATAAAAATGCCGATTAGTATAATTTTTTTAAAAATTCTAATTAATAAATTATGATAAAAAATCAAAGACAATTCTGTTATATTTTTTCTTTTCAAAAAACTTTTTATCATGTTATCACTCCGATGTAATCAATCTGAAAAGTTGAACCGTCTCCACAGTTGGCATTGACAATATATCTGCAATATAGCTTAAAACAGAATGTCATGTCAAAATGAAAGAAATGAAGACATAACCTCAAAGCTATTATATTTCGAATTCAATTTAACTGTTTTTGAATGTATGTGTATGAAATTTATCCAAAATATTCAAATGCAATGCGAAATGTATTTTTATTATCAAAAAAAGTCATCTCTGTAATCTCAAGAAAAGCAAAAGAAAAAGTATAAAAATCATTTTTGTTTTAATTTTAGCAAACCTTGTAAAACACATTTTTACAATTTGGAATTAATTTATTATGGTAATATTTTTTTTATTTAAAATGAAAGAAGTCCTAATAGTTCTTCAATTCTGTTAATGATTGACATTTCAAGAAAACTTGGCTGTGCACTAATCATTAAGTTGTGCTTTTCACTAAACAGGTACTTACAGAAATATTTATAATACAGTATTTTATGTCGAAATATGAAGTCAATAATTTGAATCAGTAACATGAGCTTCATGCATAATATACTTAAATTATAGGTCTATACAAATTTATATTTTAATAATTTACGTCCGAATGGTCTAAATTTTTTAATTTCCATTTAATGTTAGATAGGTTTTTTAAATATTTGAAAATATCAAAACATCGATTGAAACATGGCCATATTTTTTGGAGATATGTGTAGGCAAATTATAAAAAAAATGTATTATATTTTGTCATATCCGTAAAATGTTTGTTCAATGTCTAGTTTTTCAGTTTAAATATGCAATTTAAGTGAACAATAAAATGGCAAGTAAATCAAAAATCGTAAATTGGAATTTTATAATATACAATTATTTTAAATAAAAAGGCTGCTCCTCAAATAAAGAAACATATCCATGAATTTTTCAACCAATAAGTATTTTTATATGAAAACGATACATATGTATTTTTTTTCATTTTTTAAATTGGTAATATATTTGTGTGGAATTTTACAATACAGAGATTTGTAGAGATTTTTGGAAGAAAATCTAAATTAAATTAAGGCGATGATGATTAATGAAATCATCATAGATATGTCCAAACAACGTTGCTAGCTAGCTATTCATATCAGCTATTGCAATATAGCTGCTATTTAATGTATCTCTTCGCTCGGACGGTGTGAATGCTGGACATAACAATGGTCTCATTGTTTGAAATTTTGAACGTTTTAAATCATTTCACAACAATGAAACCATTGTTATGTCGAGTATACGCAGCTTCCGAGCGAAGAGATACGTTAAATAGCAGCTATTTATATGAATGTCCGAGAATGAATGTGAGTCTTCTCGTGAGAGTTTATTGAAATGTAACACCGCCATACAAAAATTGCTGACTGTCAGCAATTTCTGTATGGCGGTGTTACATTTCAATAAACTCTCACGAGAAGACTCACATTCATTCTCGGACAATCATATATCCCTATAGCAATAGCTGATATAGATAGCTAGCTAGCAACATTGTATGGTTATGTCTTCATAGTTAAAAGTAAAGATTGATTAAGTTTAACTGAATCAACAGTTTTTACACAAATATTTCGCATTAATTGGCTTTCTGGCAAATCTAGCTTCCTTTAGCTAAACTTATTAGAACAAGTTGATTGCACTTATTTGAATAAGAAAGGATACTTGAAAAAAAAAACGAAAACAAAACAAGAACGATTCTTCCTGGTTTAGCATAGATAATTTCAACACATTCTAAAATAACCACCATAGTCTTTGTTCGTGAGCAAAACAATTTTTTTAATGGTGATAAAATATGCAATAGAATGCACAATGCATGATATAATAATTATAAATCAACTTTCAATAAGTCTCAATTAAATGTAAAAAATAATAAGATTTTTTTTGAATCTTCTTTTACAATGCGTTTTGTACACTGTTTGTATTTTTTTAAGTGGAGAAACTAAATTTTAGAATAAATATTTTTTTTTTTTTCAGGAAAAATAAATAAACTAGTGTGTTTCTCCATTTATGCTAAATCACCAAGCTCAATTTTAAGATTCCTTTTTTTTCTTCAGTTTTTTAATTAAATTTTCAATCATAGTGCTGTCCACTAAACCGATGAATTTATCAACAACGACACCGTTGCGAAAAGCCAATATTGCAGGCACAGCCTTCACCTCGAATGTGTTGACAAGATCGATATTCGAATCAACATCCACCACAGCTAGGTCAATATCATCCAATGGTTCCAAAAGTTCCGCCATTTTGGGTGTTAGAATTTTGCCTACACATACACACATTAATTATTATTGTACACTTGTATGCTAAAATAAAGTTAAGTTTTATTCGAATCTCTTACATGGATCGCACCATTCGGCATGAAAATTGACAATAACTGGATTATCACTGTTCACCACCTAATTGAAATAAGACGAGAAAAAACTGCATACTATTAATATACGCAGAAGTTATTAGTCCCATATGACCATTCAACATAACGTACTTTGCTTGCAATTACATAAAAAATTTATTACAAATATTGTCTCTATAAATGTTGGCACGTACACAAACATATTGCAATAATGTGCGTGATGATTGTGGATGCTTAAAATAATTACGACACATAGCAATTTATAAAATTGCCATAACAATTTGCAATCCTTTTTTTAGATTAAATAAAATTGCAAAGGAGTAGTTACAATTAAATGAATCTTGATAGCATTGTTTGAATATTATTTACCTTCTGGTCAAATTCGTAATGATCGTTGATGACAAATCGTTTTGTGTTTGTTGCCGACACCGATAAAGTTTTTCGCATAGTACCATCCGTTATGGACGTTGGTACTTTTTTTAAGGTACATTCTAGCGCTAAGCTCGAAGGAATTTTCATCGTTGCACGCAACATTTTCAATTATATGTTCAGTGTTTTCCAGATTTAGCACAAGAAATTCACTATGATTTTTTTCCTTTATATATTCGCAAGAGTATAAGTTGATGGTACTTGGATGAAAAATTTTCAAATTGACCTTTGTCGTTTCGATTACAGATGATGAATATTCGACTGACTCATTAGCACGTAAAACTCATCTAATTCGTACGAATCGTAGAAAGATGAAATCGAGGAATATGTTGAAAATGAAATATGTATCTCAAGTTGTCGATCACTGTCTGTGATTTCATATACACATAAATATGGTCGGTAAATTCGAAAAAAAATCGTAATAGAACTAGAAATTGAAATAATTTTCCTATATTAACGTTGGTTTATTTTATTTTATTTAAAAAAGAATAAATCGTTTTCATTTCAATGACAACAACAAAAATATGTTGTACCTTATAACAAAATATACAATGGCCTTGACACTAAACCTCTTACTTAAACACAAATATTTGCCTTTATTCACTCAACATTTGGGAGAAATAAAATCCATTGCAATCGGAAAACAATGTTCTCTTTAAATCACAATCGGTTCATGTGTTGAATTTATTTAATTTTTCATTCGTTCTCAGACCAGATTCGATAAAAAAATCAAATGAACAATTGCCGATGTTTACGTAAGAATTGAACACTAAAACTGAACGAAAAGTATGAACCGAGTTCAACACTGTTGATTTTTGTGATAATTAAAAAAATACGAAATAATAATCCAATCGAATTGTCATACGAGTAGCAACACTATGTGTGAATGTAAGAAAGCCCAGATGACAAGCAAATACAACACCGAAAAAATTATCAAAGGTTCCATACAACGCAATCTAAGCACACGGAAGAAACCACGAGCACATACATACACACATACCAAGACAACTTAGCTAACAGTTATGACGTTGAAAGTAACTTGTGCATGAGACAA